AATAATAATTTTTAATTTTTTAAAAAAAATTATAAAGTAATAAAAAAATACTGCCATCGAAAAAGTCTACTACAATCAATCTAAGTCTACTGATATTTCTCAAACATGTTTTCAGAAACATTTTTCTTTCAAAAATTTTATTTTGTTCTTGCTTCTGAGTATAAATATCCAATTATATTATAACGAACTGAGGTATTCTTATAACCTATCTAAGTTGCTAAAACAAAAAATCTTTAGATAATTATTATTTTTTTATAAAAATATTATATGACACTACTGTTTTTTAGGGTGATCAATTCCTAAATAAAAGCATTCCTAAGAATTGATCACCCTAAAATAGATTATCGTCATATTCAATTGAAAATATTTAACTCTTTAAGGATATTTCACCTTAGCAACCTAGATGATGAAGAATAACACTTAAATTTATCGCATTACAATTAGATATTTTATATTTAAATGATTTAAAATTTAATTTCACTTAACAATTAAATAAATCTTTAAATCTTTTTTTTAAAAATCAATTAATACATATACCACGTCATTCACATCAATAATCTCAACAATTACATTAACACCCCAATTAAGAGTGACAACTGGTCTCATGGTTTAATACATTTAATTCTTAAAAATATATAATATTTAGTTAATAAAATATTGTTAAAAGTACTATTTACTTCCTAAAAATTTACAACTGATTTTCGACAATCAAATACAAAATAGATCGCGGGTGGCAGAGGCGTATCAAGGTATAGGTCTACTAGGCCATTGCCCACCCTATGCCCGAAAAAGGTAAATTACTTATTGAACCATTCTCTTATTATTTTATTTCTATTTTGGTCATTCGTCTATTATATATTTTAAATCATACATAAATGTTATGTTTTGATCACTACTCTTTATAAAATAATGATGATATTGACGTGTCATTATAAGATAATGATATGTATATATTGAAAAATGATTAAAAAATATCAATTTAGCATTAATTTTTAACGGTATATGACCAAAACAAACAAAAATATAACGTTAGATATAATTTTGAAAAAAATAATAATTTAGTGATGAAATCATAAATTGAGTAATAGGTAGGTTGGCAAATAAGTAGTTTACCCTAAATAAAAACATGTATGTATTATATGAAAAACTTATATTGATTCAATATATATATAAATATATATATATAGGCATGATCCAATTATATTATGTAAAACTATTTTTTTTACACCTTTTAGGACCATTGGATGTAAGAAATTAAAGGTTGAGATTAACAATAGAAAATGAGAATATATTCAATGGAAAGAAAGAACAGGGAGTTAATCTCAGCTTCTGATTTATCTTAATCAAACGGTCGTATAAAGGTGTAAAACTAAAAGAGTTTTACATAGTGTACTTATGTGGATCTTAACTCATATATTACGTTAAATATTTTTTTATTATATTCATATTGACTCAACCTATAACTTTTTTTGGATTCATCACTGGCCAGGGGTGGAGCTTTGTTAGGGCCCAAAGAGGCCCGACCCATGTAATTTTTTTTATGTTCGATAGATTAATATTTTAGTTTTTAAAAAAATAAGTATTCGAATTAAAAATACAAGAATTTACTACATATTCAATTAAGTATGGGATGAACTAAAGAAGGATAGTCCAATATTCTCAAAATTTTGGGTCTAATAACAATTTAGGTTATTATATGTTTAAAAATTGGACATATTAGAGATTGACTTCTGAATTTTAAGTTAAATAACTAATAAACCATTATATTTTCTTAAAAAATTCAATATTTCGACTCTTGCCAATAACTAATATTAACTCCTCTCTCCCACTGTCAGATGGTATAACGTGCAATATACTTTGTATCATACGATAAATATTGAATTACACTACCCAGGAAAAAAGTTGAGGATATTTACAGTCCATTTGGACGATAGGCATGTAGGAGGACGACAAACAGCCAAAACAAAAGAGATGAATTTTATTATCAGCTCCGATCACACATTAAGTAATTTATTTAATGCCACATCAATCGTTTTTTATTTATTATAATTAAATTTGTTGTCAGTGCATTGTTTTGTCGTAAGCTAGTCCATACAAAACATTAGAGACAATGTTTCTTAATTGGACTACACTGAACATGTTCTCTTTTAATAAGACATTTGGAAATAGTCTACATATAAATATGCTAAAGAGACCTAAAATGAAAAGTTCCAAGAAACTAACAGTTAAATTATTCCACGAAAACTATGTACAAGATGCCCTCCAATTACGTTTGATTTCATTTGTTTATTGCACACCATTCAACAGTACCACCATTGATATTATTTATATATATTTGGTTACCAAAATAAAAATTTAAGTAACTTAAAAAAAAACTAAAGTCAGAGTTGGTGCATTTTACTTAATTTGCATGGTAGATGTTACAAGTTCACGTGCCCTGCTGTCACAACTTAGTTTATATGATTGGACCACACATTTACTATGTCAATGACATTTTATACATAAATTTAATTAAAACATTAATATTTACAGGTAACAGAAGATGCTTTGGCATGAGCTTTAAGCTATAGAGTTTTGTAAATTTGAAAATTATGTATCTGAAACTAATGGGAGGGAAATGGGGTTTTTTTATTTATGAAATCAGATATATATTTTTATCATATAGGAGTATTATTTTCTGATAGTATGGAGTATCATTTTATGAATGTGTCTTGTTACTATAAATAACAAAGATAATGATGAAGTTTAAAATGATTATGAAATATAAATTAGATAATTGTTTGGACAAAAAGTTAGTTCAGTACCTAAACTCAATAAATCCTCCCATTCATTGTTGTGGATAATCTGGAAAACCGGTCTTCTGGGGATGACAGTTATGTCGCAACCGTCTTTCGGGTGGACCGAAATTTGGTTTCGACTTGGAATAAAATATTTGAGTCGCCACTGATCATTTATTTTTCGTAAAAAATTGGTTGATCGGATATCATCTTACCTGATCTGCTTTTATCAGAAATATGTCGGATTCTGGAGTCGGTTACAGTCAAGGAATGATTAACACCCTTGCACTGTCCTTTCGGTACCATTTAATTTATCGGTTGTTTTAATTGCAAAAATTGAAATTAAAATTTAGAGATTCGATTCAAATTACTTACCTTTAGATGATTAAAATTATCCTAAAAAACATAAATAAAGTAAGAAAATAAAACAAACAAACACAAAGAGTTAATATTAAAATCGAAATAAAAAAAGTAAATAAAAGGATGAAAGAAAATTCAAATTAAATTGGAAATAATTAAAATTTATGGGTCGAATTAATTTTAGGAACGAGCTGCAAGAGAAAAAACATAAACTTAAGGGATTAAATAACAAAAAAAAATTAAAGTACTAAAATAGCAATAACGGAAAATTAAAGGGTTAAAGTAGAAGGATCTAATAAATATATAAGAACAAATAAGAGCTTCAACAATTAATTTAAAATAAATACAAGAACCCAAAATCTAATTATGTTAACTAAAAACGCAAGAAAACATAAGATTGTTACTAAATAAAAATAAACAAGGATCTAAATGCAAAAATTAAAACAACAGTGACTAAATTAAAAGTTAATAGTGACTAAAATAAAGGAAATTAAAGTTACATGTATAAATCATCACAAAATATAACATATTGGTGATCGAATTGAAAATAAAGAAAATAAAGCGTCTAAAATAGAATAAAATAAAAACATAGAGCTTTGGTGACTAGAATATAAAATAAGGTAATATTATAGGGACTAAACATGATTAAACGCAAGGATTGATGACTGATTTCTAAAAATACGACAGTAATTAAGTGGCCTAAACATAAATAAACCAACACTCTAAGCGACCGATATAAAAGATGACTAAAAGTATAGACACCCTAACTGAGATTAACCCAAAATCCAAATTAAAAGCACTCCCCCTTCCTTATTAATTCCAGAACACGTGAACCCCAAATAAAATTCCTTTTCCCACTTTTTTTTATTATATTCAACATATCAACCCCATGACCTTCTTCTCCTTTTCTTTCACGCCACACACAGAGCATCCATCTTCTTCAAATAGCCGGAGCCATCACACTTGGCCACCGGATATGGGTGGCTTCAAACCCAACGACAACAAGGTAAGTTTCCAACCCCTCTTTTTTATTTATTTTGTTTTAAAACCGTGAAAATGTATGAAAAAAAAGAACAAAAACACAACAAATGAATAAAGCATGTAAAGAAAACTAGAATACCTTTGAATATTTTGCTTTAGATTCTAATTTTGGATTGTTGGAAATTTTTCGTAATTTTTTTGTTGAAAATTCTCCTAAAAAAACGAGAGGCAATCCCCCTCTTCATTACATATTTTCAATTGGCTTTTATAGCCATTTTACATATCTAACATAATAAAAAATTATTACACACTTGTTGTTTTGAATACAATATCTCTTGTGAGTGGCAGGAAGCAGGGATTAGTGGAGCGGCGGCAGAGTACTATGCGACATCAAGTTGGTTAGTGTTAGGTGAATCGGGTTGGGTTGGTCGGGTCTCACGGGTCAGGTTGGACTTCACTAAATCTTGGGCTGCTGGTTTGTATAAGTCACTAGAATTGGGTCTTATGTGAGTAATTGGTTCTGGCTTGAACTTAGGCCTGCAAAACAGTGTACATATGTTAATAATTATAATAATAGTAATTATAATATTTTTTAGAACCCGGTTAAAAACGGTTTCTACAGCTGCCCCTCTTTGCGCATTCTTGTGTTAACAAGGATAGGGCAAAGACGAAAAAGACAACCAGTTTTTGTCCGGTCTTTTTTTTGTTTTGAGATTTGATAGTGTTTGATTTGGAGGACTACACTGCTCATACAAAATGAAGAGTTCGGATCGTCTAAGGACGATAACACAGTTCCTACGTGATGAGGACGGCTGGTTATCTAAAGTTGACACGACTCTTACTTGATGAGGAGATCTAGTCAAGGGATAACACGTTCCTACGTGTTGAGGTGACTGGTTATCCAAGGTTGACACGGCTCCTACGTGATGAGAAGATCTGGTCGAAGGATGACACGGTTCCTACGTGATGAGGACGTAGACCATCATTAGGGATGATAACGCGATTCCTATGTGATGAGGACGACTGATTATCTAAGGTTGACACGGCTCATACGTAATAAGGAGATCTGGTCTAGGGATGACACGGTTCCTACATGATGAGGATGGCAGACCATCATTAGGGATAATGGTTTCAAGAGAAATCAACTCACAGATGATGCTTTAAGAGAAACTGTTTCAAAAGAGACAAAATTTGTTTTAAGGGAAACGATCTCAAAGTTTGGTGTTTCATAAGAAACTGTCTCGAGGGAGACAAAATTAGTTTCAAGGGAAATTGTCTTAAGCGAGATAAAATCTGGTTTTAAGAAAAACTGTCTCAAGGGAGACAAAATTTTGTTTCAAGGGAAATGTTTTCAAAGTTTATGTTTCAAGAGAAATTGTCTCAAGGGAGACAAAATTTGAAATCGTGGATGGCCCATTCGTCGTGAAGTCGAGTCTCAATTGGATATCATTCATCGTGAAGTTGAAATCCAATTTAAAGATGAATGTTACTGATGGACACGATATCTTTCGTCGTAAAGTTGAAATCGTGGATGACCACTTCGTTGTGAAGTTGAGCCTTGGAATTGGATATCCTTCGTCGTGAAGTTGAAATCCAATGTAAGTTTTGTTGTTTCGAGGCCAATATCCTTCTCCGTGAAGTTGAAATTGACTCTGAAACCGAAAAGTTTATTGACATACACTTCTTCTTTTAGTTGGATATCCTTCGTCGTGAAGTTGAAATCCAATCTAGAGATGTATGTTGCTTGTGTGTACGATTCCCTTCGTCGTGAAGTTGAAACCATGGATGTGTGGGCACAATATCCTCCGTCGTGGAGTTGAAATCACGGATCCGTTGGTACGATATCCTCCATCATGGAGTTGAAATTGTGGATGTGTGGGTACGATATCCTCTATCGTGGAGTTGAAATCGCAGATGCGTGGGTACGATATCCTCCGTTGTGGAGTTGAAATCGCGGATGACCCTTTCGTCATGAAGTTGAGCCTTGACTTGAATATCCTTCATCGTGAAGTTGAAATCCAAGGGTTGCATTGCTGCTTGTGAGCACGACCTTCGTCGTGAAGTTGAAATCGTGGATGACCCTTCGTCGTGAAGTTGAGCCTTGAATTGGATATCATCGTCGTGAAGTTAAATCTAATCTTGTGTAAGTTGTATTATTCCGTGTCCAATATCATTCGCTGTGAAGTTAAATTGACTCTGAATCTACAAAATGAGGCACATATGCGCTATGGATGCAATGCTCTTATGTATGCCTAAAATGTATGTTCTTGTAGGATTTGGAGAGAAATCTCAGCCTCTGATTGTCAGTTTTGATGACTCTTGATTCTGGAATCTTGAATTCCTTGGAATATGCTTGAATACGATGTACAAATTTATGAGGGAAATAATTGTGTGAGCAGTCTTCATTCTATCCCTTGCTCAATTTGTCTTCATTTCCAACAGGGCGTAATCTTATAAACCTCAACTTGAGATAATTTATTTTACTTGCCCAATTAAATTTATGCCCAAAAAATTTGGCTTCCCTTGCCCCAACTTCAATATTAAGCTTCGGAGAGATATTTGTTGATTTTCAAGGTATGCTTCTAGAGAAAATGTTTTTCTTCCTTTGAATTTTCAAAATTTTGAAACACATCAAAATAATTTTAAAAAATATTGTATCCTTCTAGGTTTCACAATTGAAGCAAATAATAAAACATGAGTTCATTGGATATCAAAAGAATCAAATGCTCTTTTAATCTTTGATAGCTACAAATCTTTGACAAATATCAAGATCGAAAAGTTGGTTTAGAGGTGGGCTACCTAAATCCTAAGGTTTGTTTCCTTAATACGGTCATGGCTTGCCCCTCTTTCTTTGTTTGGCATTTTAATCGGAGACGAACAAAATGACGCAACTAGCATAATCAATGACTAAACATTTTCAGAACACTTCTGTTTCAGTTCTCTGAAATCTTTCATTTGTTCAAGCTCTGTGGACTCACTAATCAAGGTAGTGTAGGAATATCGGTCTAAAAATGAGATTTCTAAGTGCTCGTGTGAATTTGACTATAACAGGTGTTCCTCAACTCCCTTAGTCCATATTCACCGAAACTCCTTATTTAGTAAATTTGATTTAATTTGCCATTGTCTGACTAGTTGAATCTTATCCATAAAGCTGGGGCGTTTAACCAATTGCTCTAGAGGGACAGCTCAAGCTTTATTGTATATATTATAATCACCTTTATCAGGTTAGCTGAGGGATTCATATCATAACAAAGTCTTTGACTTGACAATCACAGTGGAGCATACACCGAATTACCAGGTACCCGATCAATGTCATGGTTTGAATATAATTTATTCATAAATCTAGGGATTTCGAGTTTTCTCTATAACAAATTGCCTTAGTGGAATATCTCAGTTTTATTGTATATATATATATATTATATTTTTTTGGATAACCGAATTTTATTTCTTAAGCTCGGTGAGGAGAACTGTTATAGTTAGGTGTTTGTCGAATGTCAGAAAATCTCATCGTTAGAGTTCAATTCCCAAGCAACTGAACTAAACTAAATTCACCCACTTGGCCATTCCATCTGAAAAGATCATAATCATCATTGAATGTCATAAACATAGGGATAAACCACTTAGTTTTGCAATCTCATGTGCTAGTTGCCCCATTCTGTTTGCTCCTAACACATACCTGAATGCCAAATCCTTGAAGGACTCTTCATGAGAAGAGAAAACTAGCTCGGTCCTTGCAAGAGAAGAGTATGTAGTCTGGTGCATCTTTTAAATTAGGATCAAGGGCTCATTGTTTTGTAGGGATTCAATCTAGTATTTTGTTAAAGATTTGTAACCTCAAACATTGACAAAGTTTTTAATTCAGTTGATATTCAAAAGAATCTCAAGATTAGAATTTGCTCATTATTCATCTCCTTAGAAGGAACATTTTATTTGAAATGTTTGAACGTCAAATGACTTACAAACATTCATACATAAAAGTACGGAAGAAAAACAAGTTCAAACAAAATGACATGCATAAGAATGCAACCATAACTCCTGATGGATGCCCCAGTTGACTCTTGATTAGAATGCCCCATTACATATTGAATATTGGGTGTCCAATTAGATTAGGGTCCTTGCCCCCATTTGATCCCCATTTCTCAATCATTTCTCTTGTTAGGAATCCCTTATCAATGAGTTTTCTATCTCCTCTATTAATGGTATGCACTTGTCGGTAGGATGACCTAATGCCCCATATGAAAATCGCAAGCACTATTCGGTCATAGCCATAAGAAGAAGGGCTAGTCTTCATTCTCAAAGACCTTGGGGTGAGATATCGACTCTTATTAAAGGGGATAATAGGTCAGAAATGGGCACCTGAAAAACCTTGAGGGCCGTGTTTTTCCAAGACATCTTTTGAGGCCAGTCTCAAATTACTTCTCTTTTAATTTCCTTCTTGTCATTCCCCGTTTCATTCTCCTTTTTTCAGCATCGAAGAAGTCTCGAGAGTTGAATTCTTTAAATTTTCCCCACATACATTACTCTCTTGGATTTTGATATTTCATTTTTTCAGGTATTATTCTATATGAACTTCATTTGTTTTGACCCTATCAACTCCATTCTGGGATCTGACTCCCAATTGTTTGACTAAAACCAACTGATTGTTGACATCTACCTCTATAACTCCATGACTCAAAAAATCTTCGACTTGTCGTTTGAAGTGACCACAATTCCTGATGGAGTATCCTCAAGCTCCGGTATGATATTCACAAGAAACTTTCTCATTATACCAACTCAGATAAGGTGGTAACAACGGCTTAGCCAAACGTGGAGTAATCAGTTGGGCTTCAAGCAACTTGGAATATATTTTGTTGTATGAAGATGAAGGAAAACTGAGTGGAGACTTCATTTTTTCTTTGCCACTATTATGATCACCCTGAAGACTTAGTGAATGATCATTGAGATATTCTTTTTGAAGGTTCAACTTTGGATAAACGTCTTGTGGGAAACATTGGTTTGCAAATTTCCACTCATTAATAAGTTTTAAGTCTCTGGAAAGTTTAGGTTTTCCATCTTCAAAGCATAATAATCCTTTCGCGATGAGGTTTTGAACCTTTAATCTCATAGCCACACAATTTTCTGTAGAGTGACTAAAATCTCCAAGATGATAACTACATGAATTTTTAACACCTTGCCAATCTGGACGCCAATAAGGATTAGACTTTGGAGGAATAGGTATTAGAATGTCATTTTCAAAGAGAAATGGTAACAATTCTGAATATGACCCTGGAATCTGCATGAGAGGTATCTTCTTCTTTTTCTTCTTGTTATCTTTGGCCTTCTTGACTGGCATTTGAACTTCTTCTATGACTCTCTTCTTTGAGTCAGACTCAATTTTTGTGATAAAAGTTTCACCCTCAATTGTGGCTTTTCCTAGCTTGATCTTTGTCACATTTTCTAGAATCAAATCCGATGGTTGAAATTGACTTGGATTACCATATTCCTCAGCATGTTCTAGATTATCTGTTGTCACCATATTGGTCGCACAAGCAATATTCAAAGTCTCATTGAAAGCCTCTGTAGCATGATTCTCTGGTGGTTTCTCTCCATGAATCATGTGCATCAATTTAGACGTCTGCTCCCTTAACTCGTCCTGAAACTTCTTTGCTTGATCATTTATTTATCGCTGAATCTTGACAAGTTGCTCTTGGAGTTTTTCGATTCCATTGACATGTGCTGAAATCTCCTTCATGGATCTTTTCATCTCATCAGGATTTGAAATGTTTTGATTAGTAGAATTATCACTAGGATTTAACACAATGACTTGAGTTTTACTGGTAGAGAAGTCTACTTGGTGACTTGGAAGCTTGTGGGATGAAATGAGTCTTTGTGGATTAACACGTGCTTTCACACCTTCAGAGGCTTATAGGGTCAAAGAAATTTTATCTTTGCCTCTTTCTTGGTTATGTCCATTAAACTTTGTTACAATTTGATTAATCAGATCATCTTGATTTTGGAAGATACGATCCATGGTGGCCTTTTGCGCCTGTTCTATTTTAACTTCCACTCTGCTTGCAACTTTTGCAAACTCTCTTCCAATTCTTTCTTCAGTTGCTCAAATTTTGCATCCATTTTTAGTACTGCGTGAATGCAGTTACTATTAAAAGCAACTCCTCAAGGTTTCACACAATATATGATTAATATGTAAAAAAACTTAAATGAATACTATGTAAAATGCAATGATGCATGCAATATTCGAGGCATTGATCCGAAAACATGCCTGTTATTATAAATAATTCTTATTGGGGACAAAAGTGTTTTATCTTTTAAGAGACAAAAATATCTTGACAGCTTCTGACATGTTAACTAGTCTTCTACATTCGTATGTCACCGGTTGAATAACCTGTCGAACCGCTCCGGCTTCTCTGGATGAACCGTGCAAATGTTGAGTTACTTTTTGTATTAGTCCAAGAAGTCTCGAATGATTGCATCTCTAGCATTTATCTTTTGTTAAACCTGTTCCCAAGGAATACGTCATTGGAGCCCTCAATTTATAGGAACTATGTGAAGTTCATTTGTTTGTTTCTTGAATTTGTCAACAATGTTTTCTAATTTCAGCTATCGCTTTGCCATTGTTGTCTTTAAAGGGACTCCTAAGATCAGTAACCTTTATCTTTCCCCTGTAACCTCTACAGTCAGTTCTTCAAAGATAGACTTTCATTGTGCTTGATCTAGACCCGGTTCATTTTGAGTCCTTTATGATGCAGTAGAGTGATATACTCTTCAATTGTGGGCACCACATCTTCTGGATTGAATGTGACACATAGTCGCCTTGTGGAATGTCCTCTGCAGTTTCATCTCTTGTATTACAACCCCTTTGTCCATTAATGCAAATTATTTAGGTTTAACAAACACATTTTAATGGATCAACAAATCTTTTGAATGATGCGAATGATAAAAATAAAATGAAAGAGAACAAAAATGGAAGGGAAAAAAAGTTAGTGAGATAAGGATAAAAATAATGAAAATAAAAAGTCCTACCCCACATGATATCTACCCAACATGCTTATTATTTCTAACCGGACATGATCTATATCCCGTAAGTTGATTTTGAACAAGTCCTAACCGCATAAATTTCTAGTTCACATGCTTTGAACATAAAGTAAAGCAGGAAATAACTCAAGATAATCTAGGGTTTGGAATGAGGTTTTGGGGTGGGCTCTAGTTCCCTATAGTCTCTCGATTTAGGTTCTAAAAAAAAGGTACTCGAGTTCTCATTGATGTGCTCCCTTGGGCTTACCAGACCCTTAGTCCTAAGCCCATTACAAGCTCATATGGACTAAGTTAAACTCGAGAGGAAACATTCCCTTATGCCTATACGGAGAATAAATTCACACGAAAGCATAAGGTATATGAATCCCGAAGGTTACTTGCTAGGCCCATACGGAGAATAATTTCGCATGAGAGCGTCGCTTTCACCCTCACTTAAAAACGGGTTTGGAGCTCAGGTATAGAGCCTTAGATGGAAAAAGTTAAAGATCTGAAATCATTGGAAAAAAACGCCAGTACAACTATTTATTTGAAAAAAATCAAAGATAAATAATTGGAATCGAATAAATAAATTAAAATTTATTATTTTCGCATAAAAAGACAACCGAAAATTAATTTTGGCCTGACTCACTTACCTGTCCCCAGCAGAGTCGCCAAGCTGTCGCAACCGCCTTTTGGGTGGGCCCGGAATTTGGCTTTGACTTGGAATAAAATATTGGAGTCGCTACCGATCATTTATTTTTCGTAAAAAATTTGATTGATCGGATATCATCTTACATGATCTGTGTTTTACCAGAAATATGTCGGATTCGGGAGTCGGTTACAGTCAAGGAAGGATTAGCACCCTTGCACTGCCCTTTCGGTACCATTTAATTTGTCGGTTGTTTTAATTGAGAAAATTGAAATTAAAATTAAAATTAAAATTTATAGATTCGATTCAAATTACTTACCTTTAATTGATTAAAATTATCCTAAAAAATATAAATAAAGTAAGAAAATAAAACAAACAAACACAAAGAGTTAGTATTAAAATCGAAATAAAAAATGTAAATAAAAGGAATGAAAGAAAATTCAAATTAAAAATTAAATTGGAAATAATTAAAATTTATGGGTCGAATTAATCTTAGGAATGAGATGTAAGAGAAAAAATATAAACTTAAGGGATTAAATAGCAAAAAAAAAATAAAGTACTAAAATAGCACGAACAGAAAATTAAAGGGTTAAAGTAAAAGGATCTAATAAATATATATGAACAAATAAGAGCCTCAACAATTAATTTAAAATAAATGTAAGAACCCAAAATCTAATTATGTTAACCAAAAACGCAAGAAAACATAAGATTGTTACTAAATAAAAATAAACAAGGATCTAAATGCATAAATTAAAGCAACAGTGACTAAATTAAAAGTTAATAGTGACTAAAATAAAGGAAATGAAAGTTACAGGTATAATTCATCACAAAATATAACATATTGGTGATCGAATTGAAAATAACGAAAATAAAGCTCCTAAAATAGAATAAAATAAAAACATAGAGGTTTGGTGACTAGAATGTAAAAACAAGGTAATATTAGAGGGATCTAAACATGATTAAGCGCAAGGATTGGTGACTGATTTCTAAAAAACGACAGTAATTAAGTGGCCTAAACATAAATAAACCAACACTCTAAGCGACCGATATAAAAGATGACTAAAAGTATAGACACCCTAACTGAGATTAACCCAAAATCTAAATTAAAAGCACTCCCCCCTTTCTTATTAATTCCAGAACACGTGAACCCCAAATAAAATTCCTTTTCCCACTTTTTATTATATTCAACATATCAAACCCATAACCTTCTTCTCCTTTTCTTTCACGCCACACGCATCCATCTTCTTCAAATAACCGGAGCCATGACACTTGGCCACCGGATATGGGTGGCTTCGAACCCAACGGCAACAAGGTAAGTTTCCAACCCTTCTTTTTTATTTATTTTGTTTTAGAAACCGTGAAAAATGTATGAAAATAAAAAACAAAAACACAACAAATGAATAAAGCATGTAAAAAAAACTAAAATACCTTTGAATATTTTGCTTTCGATTCTAATTTTGATTGCTGGAAATTTTTCGCATTTTTATTGTTGAAAATTCTCCTGAAAAAACGAGAGGCATCCCCCCTCTTCATTACACATTTTCAGTTGGCTTTTATAGCCATTTTACATATCTAACATAATAAAAAATTATTACACACTTTCTGTTTTGATTACAATATCTCTTGTGAGTGGCTGTGAGTGGCAGGAAGCAGGGAGAGCCAGAAAAGATTCAAGATTTGGGATAAGTAAGATAGCTGACACTTGCCATGTGACTACAGCCTGGGGATTGGGCATGCAATATGCAACATTACAAAAGCACACCACCTGCCTATGTACATCCAACTTCCTCGTTCTCCAACTCGCTTACCAATAGATAAATTAGATTAAAAGAATCCTACTAATAAATCTTTATAATATCATATTAAAATTAATTTATCAATAAATTAAATAACTATATGTATATATATATATATATATATATATATATATATATATATATATTTCGTATTTTAGCGAACACAAGATATGAAGTCCACAAACATCCAAGGCAAAGCTCCCGCACTCTGATGTATGGGCATGGCTCTTGGTGGTCGAGCAGTGAGTGTCGTCAACTTATGTTTCATTTTTTGTTTTCAGTATATTTCCAAATTCACACCCCAATGTCCTTATCAATTCCCTTACCATATCTACAATCTCTGGTACCAACCAAGCAACCTCCACTCCTTGTGCTCTGTTTCTCCCTCTCCCTCTCCTTTTGTTTTTAATAAAAAACAACATCATTTACTTCTTAATTTCTGGGATTCTTCCTCTAATACTCTCTCACTTTCCTTAACCAGCTCCACTTTTCTTCATCAACTCTTCTTCTTTTTATTATTATATTTGTATGTTCCTTTCTTCTCTAGGAAAAAAAGATGAGTAGATTGTTTCGATCCAAATCTTGTGGATTTGTCGGAATAACTGAGTTCGGTCCTGCTCCTCCGAGTCCCTTCTTCCACCAAGCCAAAACCCGCGACTATGAAGCCACTGAGAAAGAAGAGATTGAAGATGACGACGACGAAGACGAAGAAGAAAAAGAGTATGATGGAGATCCCATTGCCACGACGCCGTTTATAAGCCCCAAGTCAAGATTTAGCAGCAGTAGTAGTTACCGTGATTCAACGTCAAAAGACAATAACCAGTTCCAGTTCCCTTTTCTGGACATTCTGGCGGCGTTGTTAAGGAAGTCGCTGGTCACGTGCAGCGTGGATACGGACGACGTGTCTTCTATGGACATCAGCTTGCCGACTGAAGTCAGGCACGTCTCTCACGTGACCTTCGACCGCTTCAATGGTTTCCTCGGCTTGCCAACTGAGCTCCAGCATGATGTTCCCAGAAGGGTCCCCAGTGCCAGGTTTGGTTCTGAATTTTAATTCAAACTCAAGTTCAATTCAGTTTATTTGCATTGCTGATTTACAAGTTTGTTCAATTCTCGAATTCATTAAGAAGTTTATTAGCCTTTACGCAAAATTTTCTTCAATTTATCATCTGTATGCTTGATTGTTATGTCTGACTTAATTGAGTCGTTCTCTTGTTCGTCAAAGATGAGATTTTACGTCTTTGATTACAGCTGTAGGAGAAAGGGACATTCCAACTACTTTTTCCATGCTCGATGAAGAAGCTGTTGTTGTTCTGCAATAAATGCTTTCTCAGAAAATTTTAGCCTTTGATTATGATGGAAGTTCTTGGATAGCGCTTTCGCAGTTGAAGGCTAAACTGATCTTTTTCATTCTGCAGTGCAAGTGTTTTTGGAGTTTCTGCCGAGTCAATGCAGTGTTCTTATGATGACCGAGGGAACAGTGTGCCAACTATTCTTCTTATGATGCAGAAACGTCTGTATGCAGAAGGTGGCTTAAGGTTAAGTCCAAGTCTAAGCTTATGCTTTGGTTTAATGACTAAATTGTGTTCTTAGTGCTTGACGTTTTGACGACGATCGGTTATGTTGATTGAAGGTGGAAGGGATATTCCGGATTAACGCCGAGAACAGCCAAGAAAAGTATGTCCGAGACGAGTTAAACAAAGGTGTAGTACCACGTGGAATCGATGTCCATTGTTTGGCAGGTCTGACAAAGGTATAGTTTCTAAATGCCAGACTATCAAGATTATGACATTTTGATATTATATCTGAGTTGGTGCATGTACTTGGAATCGTTTGTAGGCATGGCTTGGAGAACTTCCTAGTGGAGTACTTGATTCCCTCACACCGGAGCAGGGGATGCACTACAACACCAAGGACGACTGTGCTGAACTCGTCAAGTTACTTCCGCAAACAGAAGCTGCTCTCCTTGACTGGTCTATCAATTTGATGGCTGATGTTGTGCAACATGAACAATATAACAAAATGAACGCACGAAACGTTACCATGGTTTTTGCACCAAACATGACTCAGGTTATCTTTTACTTCCACTTCTTTACTTTTGAACACTAATTTTAGACAAGGTTTAAATCAGAGCCTATCTCTATCTGGTCCAGATGGCTGATCCTCTGACAGCATTGATTCATGCTGTGCAAGTAATGAACTTCCTCAAGACACTGATCTTAAAGACAGTAGGTGAAAGGGAGGAGTCAGCTGCCGAGGACCGGTTGCTGCTGCCGTCCTATTCTCCGACCGGCATTATCACATCTGCTCTGTAACCACCACGGACGGTGGGGTATTCAGTGAGCAAGTTCAGGGTGCAAGTCCATCTTGTCGTGACCGTCTTTCGGTTGGGCCCGGAATTAGGCTTCGACTTGGATTAAACGAATTAGAGTCGCCACCGATCATTTATTTAAAGATAAATGGGTTGATCGGATACCCTATTTCTTACCTGATCTGCGTCTTACCAGAAATATGTCGGGCTCGGGAGTCGGTTACGGTCAAGGAAGGATTAGCACCCTTGAACCGCCCTTTCGGTACTACGTAATTTCCAGTTGTCTTAATTAAGAAAAATAACAAGTTAAATTAAAAGGTAAAGATTCGATTCTAATTACTTACCCTTGATTGATTTGAAAACGAACCCTTTAAGAGTCAAAATATGTATTAGAAAAGGTGATGAAAATAAATTAAAATTGAAAAATAAAGAAAACGAAATGAAGAACAAAATAACAAAAAATGATACACTAAAGGTAACATAATCAACATGGAGATATAGAACATGAAGGAAATAAGAATGAAGACAAGTATGACAACATATGATAAGGTAAAAAAAAATACAAGGATGAAGAAATAAGGGAATAAGCCACAATAAAATGGAAAAAGAAAAAATAAATAAATAGGGAAAGCATAATAAAAGTGAAATAAAATAATATATACAAATGTAAAATAATGAGAGTTAGATAAAATGTACATATATAAAAAATGTAAAATAATAGCGTATAAAGTAGAATAAATAAAATTAATAAGAACATATAAGAATATCAATACCATATATATATATAATAGCTAAATATGAGAGGGAGGAAAAAATATATATAATAATAATAGAAAAATTATAAAAATAAAATGTAAAATAATAGCGTATAAAGTAAAATAAATAAAGTTAGTAAAAACATATAATAATATTAACACCATATATATATATAATAGCTAAATATGAGAGGGAGGAAAAAAAATATGTATATAATAATAATAAAAAAAAACTAAATAATGAAGATAAATATGATAATAAAAAAAGTAAAGAAATAATAGGATAAAATGCAAGATGCATACATACATAGATATATATATATATAATATAACATATGAGTAGAATAATAATATCCTAATAATACATATATATACGAATGTAATAAAAACTAATAATATAAAATATATAAATAATATAATGTAATATAAAAATAATCAAAATTAAAATCCCGAAAAAGGATTAAATTGAAAGAATTACAAGCTAGAGGTCAAAATTCCAAAGCAATATTAAGGGTTAATTTCGATTTGAGGGGGGAAAACGGCTCTTTTCGAGGTAACAGGGATCAAAAGGGTAGTTTACCCTATTTTAGACAGGAACACGCGAACGTTTTAAGTATAAAACTCAAAATTTTCTTCAAAATACTTATTTCTCTCTTCTCCAAGCCGAGGGACATCCCCCCCTCTCTAAACATTTCTCTGAAATGTTCTTCGCTTGAAGAACAAGGGTCACATTTTCTGGAAACCGGTCTCCAGTGCCGCCTCGCTGCCGTCGTTGAACGGCGCCGGCCGTCGTTCATCGGCGACGAATCTCAAAAAAATGTATTTTTATAAACTATTTTTTTACCCACAACTCAAAAATCTAAACGTTTTTTCAAAACTAGCCTCGTAGGACTGCGGATCTAGAAAAGAAGATCCGAAACTCCCTTTTGTTCCTCGGCTAAAAACGTTTTTTTTTTTTTGGTCCGATCTGAACCAAAAGCGACGGAAAACAACATGCAAGGGAGTCGGAGAAAAGAACAAGGTAAAAAAAAACTACCTCCTTTATTTCCTTCTCGAAATATTCTACAAGTACTTGAACCTTCTTTTTGGTTGCTATTGTAAATTTCTCTGCCTATCTCTCTTTTGTGTGCTCGTGCCTAGTATCCTTTTTTTTGTGTATTTTCCCTCCCCTGAAAAGCTTCTAATTACATGGCTTTATAGTGATAACCTAGGCTATTTTTAGAGTTTTAATCCGAGCAAAACTCGGTTTGTTTGTGGTGACAATCCATGACTCTGACTTGGTTGTTTGTCTTGGGTGTTCCGTGTGGTCACGATGCCGAGAAAACCGGATGTGGGAGACGTGCTGTGCGAGGGAGCTTCGACCGGGTATTGCGGCGCTGGGGCGAGAGTCTTGCTAGGGTTTCTGGGCAACCCTTGGATACCATTTGCTGTGGACCGTTGGATCTCATCTAGATCCAACGGTCACCATTGTTGGCGGCTGGGACAGGAGCGAACTAGGGTTCTTCAACGTGGTGGGCTACTCACGTGGTGTGTGATGATTTTGGGCCACGTGTTTGGGCCTGCAAGTGTAAATTTTTTTAATAAAAATAATAACATATATGTAATATATATGTAATATGTATATATATATAAAAAAAAAAGAGTGTGTCCACACATCTAATGAAGCTTCCACTGCTAAGCTTTTGCTGGCTGCCACAACGAGTAGACTGGAATGTGTCCCTGAAGAGAAACTATGGAGCTCTGGTAGAGGTGAGGGGGTAGAGGAATTCGAGTCCATTTCAGGTAACAGCACGCCAAGTGGATGTGAAATGAGGCCTGCTGAAAATGAATGCAGAGGTGCGTACAATAACAAGGACCGATTAAGCTTAAGAAAAGGTGTACTGCGGTTATGCAGGCACCCAGTATTTCAGTTGAGTAAGTCGAGTAAGAAGACCCGAAATCTGGGGATTGTAAGTACTGGACGAGGTGGAGAAGCTTGTGTGTAGCACATCCCAAAATGTTCATATGTTTCTTTTCGATCATTTTAGGCCATTTCTGGTTGTGTATGCGAAATTTACTAAAAAGAAACGATAACGATCCAACTATGTATAAGTTGGGCCAGTAATTGCAAGTATAAATCTGGGCCTTCTATGTTCTATAAAAGTAGATAGAGAGAATCAATCATTGAAATTAAATATTATATATGTATGTATGCAGCACATTGGAGGTGCACGAAGTTGTTGCATTAGGCAGCATGGAAATGAGTTCTGCCTGGGGTATTGAAAAATAGAACAAATAGCTATCAGCAACAGTGGGGTCGTCATTTTAGTAAATAGGTGGGGGATTATGAGATTTCAACTAATATATTAATAACCAACCTTTTCCCATCCACTTTTGATTAAATAAATATTAATCTCAATTTAAAATAACATAATTTATTAAAAAAATATTTTACATATTCTCACCATGAGTTTTGTGCTTCAATTTCAACTAAACTAAAGTTTTAATTGGGCAGTGGAAGTAGCACTAAAATAATCGATATTAGGGTTAGGTTATCTTCAAACACAAGTGGAGCGAAAGCTATTTTGTGGCTTTTAAACAAACATCATAATTATTATTGAAAATAAAATGATTCCTTTTATTTATTATTATGTTAAGCCAAACGTTTTAATCATTCAAAGTCTGATTAGTCTGTTCATTTCCCGACTTTAAACAATAAACAATTTTCTAAGTATAGCGACCTAATAAATTTTTATATTTGAAATATATTAAAATATTAAAATATATTTCATTAATATTTATATTTGTTAAATTTAATTAATACTGAATTGATCAAAATTTTAATTTAAGCAGCATATTTCAAATAAAATTCAATGTTAGCTCAAATATATTTTTTAAAACAAAACGAGCCTCATTGAAAAAACTACTTCTAAGACCTATAAGGGATAAAGAATGTGCTTAGACCTTGTATTACCAGAATAAAAATTATTGGATATAACAAAAATAATAATCTCGGGACAAACCGAGCTAAAACACAAAATATTTCCAGAACCAAGAGCCCACATACAGCTCAAATCATTTGAACTTAGATATTATAGGCAAAATGAATAGTTTTAATCTCTTAACTTTCTTTTTATCATCAAATTTTTATATTTTTTTAATTAAATTAATTCAAATAAAACGAAACAATAACACTGATTTATAATGTATTAAAATTTTGACGATAACTATTTTCTCTTTTCCTACGACATCATAAAAAATTTTGAAAAAAATAAAAAATTACTAATCTATCCTTTATAAATGCTGGTATCAGCTTTGCCCGTTAGGTCTCTTGATTCTGCGCTTGTTCAATTGAAATGCGGGAAAAAACCCGCCAGCCATGGAGGTGACATGGGCGGTGAAAAATGGGGAGACGATGGAGAGGAATAACAAAAGGGTTTGTAACACCATAACTCGTATACCTCTAACAATACGAGTTAAAGATGTCACATTAATTTTATAGATATTTACTTAATATAAATATTTAAAATTTTGTTTTTTTAAAACATTTATATTTTAACTTTAAAACTATTTTCCTAATCACATAAAATCATAAATTAATACTTTAGCATTGAAAAACCAATTCGTTTTCAGGTAGCGTTTAAACAGTTTAGTGTTGTTTAACAAACTATATAATACTTCCTAAAAACTACTAAATTTTAAAATCATTTTATCATGGGTACATTACTCATTCATAAATACGGATATAACTAGTCTAATCAAAATAAAGTGGTCCTAATTTACTATTACATACCATTTAAAATAAAATGATAAAGCATACGGATAACATAAATATACAAGTCATTATTAGTTAAAAGTAACATCAAAGATGTCTTACTGATACCGATAATATAGATGATCTTCAAAAAGATGCTCAAGAGGCTCCTTATAGAATGTCATTTTCTTTATCCGAACCTACGCATAAAAATCATCATGCTCTAAGTATAACTTAGTGAGACAATAATAACTCAAGGTGAGAAATAAACATATAAAATGTCATGTGTAAATTAAAACATTCAAAAATAAATAAAATAAAATCTCAAAACGTTCAAATCAATTTATTCACTTTATCTTTTCATAAGGAACTTGAAAAGAATCATCTTATGATTTTATCAAAAATCATAATAATCAATGTCAGACATAA